ATCATAAAGAAAATTTTAAAAGAAGAATTTGAACTTTATCTTTGAATTTTGCTACTTGCCAATTTCATTAACCTCTTGGAAGGCTGGGTGATGTTAATTGGGCTTTTGGGGGCCTTCTAGCCATGGTTAGGCTGTATTTTAAAACGGGGCAAATGATTCAGACAACAAAGCCCAAATATTTGGAGTTCAATTTCAGGTTCAATGTATAAATTCTAACATTCTACTCTATTTTACTCTTGACTTATACAAATCAAGCCTTGTGGATAGTTTCAGTGTCTCCAGTTCAAAAGAAAAGGCCAAGTAGCCAGATATATATGCATACAAATTCCAAACAAAAAGTATAATGATGAGAACAACAGAGATAAATATGTAATTATTTATTCACAAAATATTAGCGACTTTAAAAACTCCTCTTTAGAGTTAGGAATTTAAAGGTGACTCAAACACAAAGGAGATGTCATTTAGTAGATCAATTCCTAACAATTCCCTTAGAGGACTGTGTATCAAAATGGCACTATTGGAAAAGGTAGTGACATACCTTTTAATATGCAGTGCTGTAAGTGCTATGCATAAAATAAGAAGCAATGTGTAGGCAGTAGCAATTGAATTGTTTATGCACTCAAACAGTTGCCTTGAAGTATAATAAAACTGAGCATGAAATGAAAGGTTCATGCAGGCCTGTGAGCAAAACAAAAACAGAAACCCAGAAACCAACCCCAAACTCCCCAGTCTACCCTGCCCTCCCCGACTACCCTCCCATCCCCCCCACAAATTTTTCCTGGGGGCTTAAAACCCTTCTGTTTTGGAAGACCTACAGGCTTTATACATTCACCTGGTGGCTCATGAAGACCAGAAACACTGTCATAGAAAGAAGCTCTCTGAATATTCTGAATCTCTAAAGCAGAGAAACAGCAAAAACAGGACAGAAGAGCAAATACACAAACACTTCAGTTAGTGTGAATGACATTCGACATCACAAGTAAACTTTGAAATTGTGCTACAAAAGTAGCTAGTTGTGGGCAGATCCCATGCAAACATTACTGTTTAGAGAATTTGCACATTTGGACAAAGTTGTTTATGAAATAAATTTAAGCTGAATCAAAAGAGCATATTTCCAACTCCAGGTGTGAGCATTATACCTTATCAATGTTAAATGATTACCCCTTGTAAATGCAGAATAACATTTAAGAGTAATAAGGTACTAGTTGAGTTGTCTATCATAAACATATTTTGCAATTAGTAAATGAGGACAAGACTGTAGTTAAGAGCATTAAGGTAAATGTAAATAGTAGTGGCTTTTACTGTCAAAAATTCACACTGCTGTGTAATTACTTCCAATATAGATTTTGGAAATATAATTTACTTCCATATTTTGCAATTAGTAAATGAGGACAAGACTGTAGTTAAGAGCATTAAGGTAAATGTAAACAGTAGTGGCTTTTACTGTCAAAAATTCACACTGCTGTGTAATTACTTCCAATATAGATTTTGGAAATATAATTTACTTTAAATACAAATTGCTAAAAGGTAGATAACTACCATTAAGGAAAACAAAATTCAAATTCTGTTGTAGCAAAATGTTAAAATAACTTCAAATCATAAGAAAGATGATAGTTACTGATCGTATCATTACTCATCAAAATATTCTAGTAGGCACTTTTCCATGAAAATGTAATCTTTAGTTTTTTCTGTTTATGAGCCTTAAGAGTGGCAAGAAGTCCTACACAGCTGGTAGAGAGATCCCAAAACAACATCTTTCAGCAAAAAGTGGGGCATAATGAATCTCTAGGGCAGGGCTGCCACCAATAAATCTTATTTCTCCTTGCTTAGCCTTGAGAATGCTCTGTAAAACCCTAACCCAACCTCTATTTTAACACAAAATGTTTTATATCCAAGGCATTTCACCTTCACAGGCAAACTATATTCATATATCATATAGTCATCCATTCATGGTCAACTTGTCATTTTCTCCTTTTGCACTTAAGTGGCTATAAAGAGAGGAAAATAATTACATGTTTTTCCAGGGCTATTTTCTTTACCTGAGAAAAAGCTCCCCTTATGCCAAGAGATCTCTACATCCAGAGTGAGCAGTGGGGAATCCTCTACTCTGGAACTCTCATCAAACTTTTGTGCCTGCCACTGATTTCATGTATGAAACATGCGGTCCTCAGAATCAGACAAACATGGTGCTGCCCCTCACCCTGAAAAATAGCACTCTCCCTGCCCCCCATAGTGAGCAACTTCTGAGATCTTCGCTGTCACTCAAATTCAACTAACTTCCCACCTAAGCTGATGGACGACAGGACTTCTTGCTAATAGTAGCTTTACCAGGAGAGCAAGCAGGTGGGATTATTCCAGAGCAGAAGCCAGCAGAACCGAATCAAACTTGGGGTAGATAAGATTTCTCTTAGCCTATTTTGACAAGAGTGGCCAATATGCCCCCAAGCTGCACATCTTTAGAAAGGCAAGGGCTGCAACCAGGGCTGTGCAAACAGCGCAGCCTGTGAGGTCAGAGCTGTGGACTAAGAGCAGGTGATCAGGGCTCATGCCGGGGCTGAAGGAGCTCGGCAAGGCCACGAGAGTTTCCTAAGCATTTCTGTCACCAAATAAGTAACTCTTCTCTATCTACTACATGATAAACACAAAAATGCAGGTAAGGAACCTGCAGACATGGTTCTACCTGTAAGACATATCATCTATGATCTATAATTTGTATGGACCATTCCAGCCTCGCACCTCCACCCTTGTCCACCAAACCACACATTCCTAAAACTCCTGACCACTGATGCCAAAGCCTTCTCCAGTACCTGGGGACAGTGAGACTTGGAGTTAAGGAGAAGAAGGGAAGGAGGAAGCCCACGAAGCTAGGAGCCAAGATAAAGACAGCTCAGCACGATTACTGTGTCTGTGTACATCCTGATTTCTCAATTTCTCTTGGAGGACAGGAGACATGTCTTTCACTGCTTCTAGATCTTTCTTATCTATTTATTACTGTGGGAAGCACAGAATTGCATATGCAGTATTATATGAACGGGTCAAGTGCTCCACAGGTGTTTTCCACAGCACTATTTTTGGTAAGGGAATATAAAAATAAGAGTCAAATGGGGGTTCATAATGTTGGAGCAAGTATGTAAACCCAGGACCTAATTTCCTTTGTTATACTCTCAGTGTTCCCCACATGCCTGCTTCTCTTCAAAATGAAGGGAAAACCAGTTCTGAGGCTTCTATAGGTAAAACTCCTCATTTCCTCTGTTCTTTTTTCCCAGGTGTTCCTTCCACGCCCACTGCTACCATCCTCAGTGAATTCACGTGAAACTCCCCACTTTCAGGTTCTTTCACCCCAATCTATCTGACAAACTACTGCCCGTTTTACTACTTCATTGTCAGATTGGCTCACAAACCTACTGATACTTTCATACAATGAAGTCCAAAGTCCAAATTCCACTTGAGACAGGCCATCAGGGCTCTCCAGTCCGGACTCAACCTATCACCCCCGCCTTGTTTCCTGCTCACTTTCCTGTTTCACCGCAGCGCTACTCTAAAGCCAAAAGGGAACACTCTGCCTGAGCTTTCATATTTTGACCATTCTATACCTTCTTCTCCCATGCCAGGGTCACCTCTAAAAATGCTATCCATCCCTAGATGAGTTAGTGCATGTAAATCTACTCACCTGTAATCAGACTGTAAATGCTTATATATGAGTGCTGACAACACTGCCTGGCGCTTAGTAAGTGCTCAGTAAATGTTAGCGTTCGTTATTTATTCAACAAATGATTATCCTTTTGGGATAAGGAAGGGTGCCTCCTCCTCCATAACGTGTTACCTTAGCACCCTAGGTACGTCCCTAAAAACTCATTCCATACCACTCACATGGCATTTCTCTCAGATACCTTTGGCACTCAACCGTTTGTATTCATACATATTTGCTGTGTTCTAAGACCTTAAAAAAGAGTGCCAGGAGGAGGGGGCTGAAGTGCGTGTGACTTTGTAACCCACATAGTTCCTACAAGTCACAACTGAAGTGACTGCAGCATTAGTTCTCTCTCTTCTTCCCTTTCTCATCTGCACTGCCAGCTCACCAGTGCTGGTCTCTCCAGCACTGTGGACCCTGTGACAACCTGAGCTCAGAAGGTTTTTTCCTGCTCTACTTCCAGTTTCTCATATCTTATTCTAAACTTTCCTAGCAACAGAGTCAAGAGTTGCTTATCTTGGAAGGCACTGCAAATTCTACATGAGGCCCCACTTCTCCTTCCAGCCCTCAAGCAGCATTTCTCCACTGACTAGGTCATCGGAAGTGACACTGTGCTCTCTGTAGCCAGTAGAAGACTTTTTCACTTAAATGTACAAAGACGAAAAGCTTCCATTTTACTTGTTGGAAAGCTAACCTTTTCCCTAAATCCCCCCTTTTATAGAGTCCCAGGCATGCAGTTTCTTCCCAGGACCCCTGCAGCCCCCTCACTCTTACTTGACTGATGCCCATGGCCATTCTTGAGTGGATGATCTTTTATAGAGTCACCTTTCACCCCACTCACTTTCTCTGTGTTCATTTCTCTGTGTTCATTTCTCTGTTTCCTTTTGCCCCAATTGCCCCAAACCCCTTCTTTTCTGCTTTCTGTGTTTCTTTCCCCCTACCTCTGAGAAGACAGCTAGATTATAAGGTATTGAGTGAGATGCTAGAGAGAAGGCTGAAATGAGCCTGATTACCAAATGAGCCTGGCCTGTAGGTCAAGTCCTAGGCAGGGCAGATCCAGGGCTAAGGTCCTCTGTGTCCTGAGGCCAAGCAAAGAGGAGCGGGAAAGGGCCAAGATGAAATGTAGTAGTGAGAACTAAGCTCCGGGAGGAGGTACTGGTTCCTACTCTGCATAAAGACACACAGACATTTTGTTTTTCTGGAACTAGGAAAATCTTCTAGTCTACAATAAAATCACCAAAATCTTCACCCGAGGTTCATATAAATAAAAGAACAATGAGGATTGATGGAGATAAAAGCAACAGATCTGTACACAGGATATTTGAGAGTTTATTTCCCAGCTACTTTGCGTGTGTGCGTGCATGCGTGCATGCCTGTGTGTGGTGCAGGACACTGGTGGAGGCTGCAGCTCAGTGGACCTCTATACCACCTGGGGAAAATGGCACATGAGGGCTTCTCGAAGTCTGTGTCCCAATGCCCTTGGATTATAACTGGATTAGGACTGCAGTGGCCTGAGGCACATGCATAGTTCTTCGTGGCTCTGGGCCTGGACTGTCTCCATACTCCCCACAGCATCTGACCAAGAAGGCAGATGTCTTGTTATTTGTTCCTTAACTCAAGCATTCTTAAAGTGGATAAATTCCAATATAACGGCAGCCCTGCTCTAGGGAAAGAGAGATTTTAAAGTAAAGAAAAAAAGAAAAATGTATATATATATACACACACATGTAAAAGAATCATATATAAATCATAATTATAAGGAGTCCAGCCAAGCTTAATTACAAACGTAAGCACATTCTTACCATCCTTCCAAAGCTCTGCCACAAATCTGTCTGAGGACTGGTGCAAAAGGGTGGCCACGTTGTCGTTCAGAGGGTCCATGTTCTTCATCAGCCACTCATCTGCCTTATAGTCCACCTACCCCGTATCAAAGCCAAGTGTGGTCAAACGGGACACACAAAACCAAACACAAAAACAAAAAACATTTTAAGCCTTAACCAAAAACTTTCACAGAACAATCCAAAAAATGGATTGTCTTAAAGGCAATGAATTCATAATATATATTTAAGTGTATATAATCATTTATCAGCACCTTAATAAAACACAGCAGAATTTCAAACATAGCAATTTTAATCAAGTTATTCAAAATAAGGACTCTTACCTTCCCTGCATAATGTATAATGCAAAAATCAGCTTTGTCTTTCAGCTGCCGAGGTTTCTGAAACTTGGAGTGGGAACCTTGCTCTTGAACCAGTTTTTCAACAAAAGTTTTATCTGTGGCTTTAGGAAACCAGCACTCTTCATCCAAAAGGGCCAGTACACCAGGAGGGTTAGCCTAATAATAAAAGGCAAAAAGAATTGACAAGGTTTGCATGTCACTTTCTGACCACTGGGTTTAGCAGCTTAACTTCAGAAACAGAGTTTTATGAAGATCTATGGAAAATGAATTGCTAGCATAGAAAGTAATGTCCAAACCATATCAAGTTTGCTGAGGATGAGATCTCAAACTGCTAAGAACAAGAAAACGAATGAGTGAGTAACTTAATTTGTAAACTTATAAATATGTAAATTGTAAGTAAACTAATTCCAAGTAGATGGCCCCCAAAGAGCAGCAAATAAAGCCAGAAAGAAACTAGGGGGTAGAGAGATGAAACTCCAATGACTGGCTGAATAAATTATTATAGAACCTCAACTAATTGGAATGCTTCAGACATTTTATGTCCTAATCAACTTAAGTTTCTGCGTAAGTGATGATTAAATAAAATGTATCATTTCACACTTGGTGAAATATTTAAAACTATTATTAAGTAGAGTATATGGAAGGTGATGAAATAGTTCATCAATTGCTTTAAATATTTTGTTTTAACAAAGATTTGAGGGCCTATTTTATGGGGCCCAATTATTAGTTCATTGAAAAAAGCTGAGATGAACCCATAGAGACAGAAAGTAGATTAGCAGAAGCCAGGGGTTGGGGGAAGGAGAATAGGGCGTGACTGCTAATAGGTACACGGTTTCTTTGGGGGGCAATAAAAATGTTCTGGAATTAGATACCAGTGACGGCTGTACAACGTTGTGAATTCTAATACCACTGAATTGTAAAAAAATTGTAAAAAAAAATTACCACTGAATTGTAGCTTTAAAAGGATGAATTTTATGGTATGTGAATTATATCTCAATTTAAAAAAAACTCACAGCTTGCCACTCTCTGGAATGACTTCCTTTTGGCAGGTAAGTGACACATGGAAACTAAATATTTAAATAGTGATGGTCAGTTTTATATATAGTGCTTCTGGGTCATCATTTAGAGCCAGACTGTAAATATGGCAAGTGAGCATGACACAAGACTGAGCCTGTACCAATTCTAGGGCATACCCATGAAACCGGCTTTTTGAATAAAACTCTAGGCTCAGTTTTCTTCAACTCATAAGGCCTTTGTATTTACTGGGGAAGAGCTGGCTATATACACAAATACTGTTTTAAAAAATAACTACAGATTAGAGTTAAATATAAATGAAACAATGTAACACTATGGTCAGAGAAAAATAACAGCTGAAGGGAATGCCAGCAGGTGGAAGCTGAATCCTTCTGCAACCTAGACCCTCTCACCCCATGGCTCCTCCACCTAAAAGAACTTTCGGGGTTTCAGAGCAGCTCTTCTTTAAGATGATAATTAGAGGCAAGCAGGATTAGGGAATCGTAGAGGAGCAAGGGCTCAGAGAGGCAGGTAAAACAATCCACCCCAACCATCTGACAACTCTGAAAAAGCAAGTTCTATACTGATGTTAAGATAACTGAACCATTCATCTTTTACATTTTTAATTCCTTTTAATGAAAATATTGTTAAATTCTGACATAAGATCCCAAATATAATTTAATTTTTACTAAATGACTCAGTAAGTTTATGAATATCATTATTGTGTCTCCTTTTAATTTTTTTACTCCATCCTTCAATGTCAAGATCTCTATTATCACTTCTTTTAACTGGGTATTTCTAAAAAGCTGTAAATTTACGAGGCTGTGTTTCTGTATAATGATCAGGGGGTTTGTAAAAAGCTTTTCAACTCAGAGGCTTGCCTGTGCCCACCCCACCCTCAGCTGGGTTTGTGAGAGATGAGGTGAGACTGACCCAGGACAAGCAGGTGCCACTGCAGAGTATTTGTTAAGGTATTTCCTTTCTAGAAAATACTGCCTTCATTCTCTATTTTGAAAGGACTATCAATGGTATCATTGTCCCATATCACATGCTATATAGTTAAATTACTATCGTCATAAACTCTTGCAGTGTTTAAAAAGTTTATGTTTTTACTTTTTTAATATCAGATTTTATATTTCTACTTATAAGTGGAATAACCCTAAAGTTGAGACAAAGAGTGAGTTGGCATTAAATCTTGAATTCCTTCTCTCTTTCTGAGCTGTCTCTCCTTTAAATTAGGACTACTCAGGCAGGGAAGAAAAGGGGGACATTCTAAAGGTGTAGGGAAAGTGCCTAGAAGTGCCAATATGAGGAGAAGGGAGGGAGGAAAAGAGGGACAGAAGAAAGGAGGCAGGGAGTGGGAAGGGAAAGAAGGAAGGAATTAATTAATTCTACTCACCGCCCGTAAGTATCCAGGCATAGCTGGTTACTGTGACTGTCATATCCACCCCATTCCAATACTTTTTGAACAGCCTAGGCAAATAACTTTCCTAAAATACCACTCTCCATGTGTTGCTCACCTGCAATTTCTATCTGTAAAATTCAGCCCTGGAATGCCCTCTGACTCCCTCACAACCTGGTTACTGTGACTGTCATATCCACCCCATTCCAATACTTTTTGAACAGCCTAGGCAAATATCCTAAAATACCACTCTCCATGTGTTGCTCACCTGCAATTTCTATCTGTAAAATTCAGCCCTGGAATGCCCTCTGACTCCCTGACAATATCCACATCGGTGAAACCTTCTGTGACAATGTCAGCCTACTGTGGCCTTTACCCTTTCCAAATTCATGGAGCATCACTTACAGCTGGTACCACGGAACCAAAGAACTAACCACGATGCTCTGTTCTGTTCTCTGGCTTCAAGATCAGGTCCTTGAGGACTAGGGCCATGACATATACTCTTCCATACACCCAGGGTGTCCCCAGACTGCATTTTCAGGACATAATCGAGGATTTAAGAAAGTCTTCCTATCTTGATCTTATCTCAATCCAACAATATTTACACTTAATGTCTGCAAAATAGTTTGGAACATAAACATGAAACCCTTTTCTGCCTCACCTATTTTTGCTGTGAGTTAATCAGTAAGGTTGAAATATTTAATTACTTTCCCTCTATCACTTTCACTTTTAGAGTAAAATTATGTTAGAATAAAAAAAGATATGAAAAAAATAATATATAAAGTATTTTGTCCTACAGGATAAAGCAAAAGAAATGCAGTTAAGTAACATTAAGAAAAATGTATATTTGTAAGACTCATTTAAGGGTCACAAAACCATTCAATTTAAAAACCCTCTAAAAACATTTCTAAAAAATAGGGTTGATAAATGTCTATTTAGAAGAGGTTCAGCACAATTATCCCTACAAACTGAGACTGACCTAGCAAATTTCGTGGATTCCCTTCCATCCTAAAATATAAGTACAGGTACATAATCACTACATTCTTAAAATGTAAGACTCCCAGTGTCATATGGATACATATAAATAAGCATCTCAAATAGCATATCATATAATCATCAATAGCACTTATGTGAAATATTCCATTCCCTTATTTATATAAATTCCCCTCCAATTTTTTCTTTTTTTGCAAACAAGCAGCAACAAAATGTATTGATGTGATTGGATATGCATGAAAGTTAACTGAAAGTTACTACAAGCATGTCTTGAATGTTACCTCTAAATGATTGCTACAAGGTACACACAAGCAGCTATCCTCACAACTACAGGGAATAAGAGATTTTTGCTCTAAACACACAGCTACAGTGCCATGAAAGGTAAATGATTTCTTATGTATGAGCCAAATGAAAATTATCTGTTGTTTTCCTTAAACCCAAGTTTCTAATGTGTCAGAACTACGTCTCTAATAGGGGTGAATGTCTTCTAGGTTCTTCCTCTTCCTGATTTGCCACCCGTCTTTCTGACCACAGGTATTGCACCATCCTAGGTCTCTAGAAATTAGACCTCCAACTCCTTCAAACATGTGGAACACAGGCAGCAACCAGAGGCTAAACAGCAAGAAAAAGAACTGCCTCAAAGCCGTTTGTACCTTGCAGGAGATACCGATGAGATGCTGTTGAAACACACCTATTTAACTAATTTTAGAACTTTATGTAAATTATAGATAACAATGCTTAATTATGCTTTAATTTTTCCTATATTTTGGTAGATAGCAACATAAAATAAGCAAAGCTAATATCTTGTTGAGCAAAAGCTAACTGCCTAGAAATACACAGCCAAATCAGTATTTGTTTGAGATCACAGGGAGTAGAGTTTCCAAAGTGAGTGAGTTATACATAGTTCTACGTATTTTTATATAACACCTAACCAACAAGAAAATAATTTGTGATGCTAAGATTGCCACTGAAAATACATCTGCCACAGAAATATTAATACCACATGTCCTCACTCATAAGTGGGAGCTACTAAGCTACTAAAATAAATAAATAAAAAAAGAAAGCTACAACAATCACAACAGTTGATTGAACTTTCTTTTTTATTATTTAATTTATTTTTTATTGTAACATAGTTGATTGTACATATCTGTGGGGTACAAGAGTTGAACAGCAATACCTGTGTGCAATATGTGATGCTCAAATCAAGACAGTGTATTCAACATTATACAATGTAATTGTTTTTCATGTCCCTTTACCAAGTCCTCCCTTACCCCACTCCTCCTCCCTTTTTCCTACCTCTGATAACCTCAGTTCTGTTCTCTCCTTTTGAAAAGTTCAGTGTATTATTGTGACTTTTGTATCTTTCGTATTTTTTTTTTATTAATTTATTTTTTAGCTTCCACTTATGAGTCAGGACATGTGGTATTTTTCTTTGCCTGGCTTATTTCACTTAGCATGATTTTTCTCTAAGTTCATCCATGTTGCTGCGAAGGGCAGTGTTTCATTCCCTTTTATAGCAGAGTAGTATTCCATTGTGTAAATATACCACATTTTTCTTATCCAGTTGTCCGATGGTGGACATTTAGGTTGATTCCAACTCTTGGCTATTGTAAAATAGAGCTACGATAAACATGGGAGTGCAGGTATCCCTTTTACATGGTGATTTCCATTCCTTTGGGTATATACCCAGCAGTGGAATTGCTGGATTGTACAGCAGTTCTACTTATTGTTGTTTGAGGAACCTCTATATTGTTTTCCATAATGACTGCACCAATTTACATTCCCACCAACAGTGTAGAAGGGTTCCCCCTTTCTCCACATCTTTGCCAGCATTTGTTATTCTGTCTTTTTGAGAACAGACAGTTTTTCAAGAAGATAAACAATATAGACAAACCATTAGCTAGGCTATCTAAAAAAAGAAGAGAGAAGACCCACACAAAAAAATTAGAAATGAAAAAGAAGACATTACAACTGGTACCACAGAAATACTAAGAATCATTAGAGACCATTATAAACAACTATACGCCAACAAATTTGAAAACCTGG